ATATTTGGAACTAGAATCAAGAGATCGATTCTCAACAGGTTTTGGAAGAATTATTTTCCATTAATGTCTTTTTCTTTTCTTATTGACCATCCAATTCAACTTTTTTAGGAGTAAAAGAATATGCTGATTTTGGATCAAAAAATGTTACACATTTAAAGCCTAATGTAGTTCAATATGGATTTTTGTGACTAATCTGCAGGTTTACTTTCTTAGTCAGAAGCCTTTAAAATCTTTGAGGCTACCTTCTTTCCTGTACTTTACATCCAATTTAATTTTCGTTTAGTAATAAAAGATTATGCCTTTTGAGATTTGGGGTTAAAACTTAAAAGAGAATTTCTCACGTTTGACAAAAAAAATCCAAACGCCATTGTAATTCCTTCTACACTACAGTCAAATAGTTCATGCTTAAGATGAACTAATATTAAGAATTTTGATCAATCTATCCATACTATATTAAAAGCACAAAACCACTTAGCAAAATATTGTTCGTCTTTTTTACTTTTTAAAAATTAATTCCATATTGGATAAAATTGTATTTTAGTTGTTTTCTTATATTTAGGACTTCTAAATCAAATAAAATTTTAGTTATTAAATTTTTCCTTTTTTGAACTAGGTAAGAAATCCTAATATTTAAAAATGTAAATGAATAATATTATTTTTTCATGTTTAGATTTTGCAGAAGTTGTAAAAGTATGTACAACAACATATATTACCGACCACACTATTATGATGGATAGTGGTACAAAGTTTATGCGTAGAACAGTGGCTAACACTTTAAAAATTTATCTCATTTTCAAAATCAACTAAAAATTTGTAATCCTTTGAATCATGTAAGAAATTTTAAACATTAATTTAAAATAAATTAGTATTTTAATTATCTAATATAAATTATTTATTTATTTAGAGAAGATGTAACATAACTGTAATCTATTAATTTTAGACGTAATATAATTGTTAATACTTTAGAGAGTTATCCCTTTTTGAAATTAATAATAATATTATTTATGAAATCATTCATTATTTAACTATGTAAGAAGTCTTAATATAGGACTTTAAAATTATTTAATATTTNTTTATATAATATTTAAATATAAAATTCAATAATTAAAATAAATAACAAAATTTAAAAATATAAAAGATATAAAAGAGGTAAGGAAAAAGAGAGGTCATAAAAGTAGTTGACCAGAATCAACAATACTAATTATTCTACGTATAAAGATTCAAAAGTGAAATATGATCATATTAGTTTTTTTAATCCTTTTGAACATAGAATTCATAGTATATACTTATAATTATACTTAAATATTTAAACTATGTTATAATTTTTTAAGAATTTGAATCAATAAAAAACAAATTATTTTCATTTATATTGAGAATAAATAATTAAGTATCTAAATTATATAACTAACTAGCTAAAGAATCCTGTTTAATTCTTTTTCAAATTTAACATAAAATAAAAATACATTTTCAAGTTGACAAACTCTTTATTAGGGTACATAAATTTATTTTTATAGAAAGAGCACTGATAGTGAAAGAAATAAAAAAAATCAATATAATACAATATGAGGGTCAGATTGATAAAATGCAAATTTGAAGTAATAAATATGAAATAGTAAAAGATAAGTTGTATTCTATTTGAGTTGTCATAAATTAAATTTTTCTTTGTTTGCATTTATTCCAGCAAATGACGGGTCCATTAATTTTATATATTAATTATTTGTTGTAAATTGTTAACTGAACGTTAGTCAATTTTAGATTTTGTAATGTCATGTATCAAATTAATATTTAAGAGCTATAAGCCAAACTTCTCATTTCCAAAACTCCAATTAAAGATCAAAGATTAAAGTTCTTGGTATATATTATCCATCAAATCATTAAATAATAGTGGTAAAAATATATTTATATTATTTATTTTCAGTACAATTTTCTTAAAGATTCTCATAAAGTCCTCAAAATCACAATAAGGCATTTTGCAGAATTTAATGGGATATGATTACTTCCTTTATTAAGCTATAGCTGGATAGGGTCAACATCCATTATTTTTAGAAACTTATAATTTTTTAAAACGTTTATAACTCAAACACATTATTTGATACTCCCTCCGGTCCAATTTAATTAATTTTTTGGTCTTTTAGTGATCCACAATATATAATTTTTTCAGGTATCAAGAAGAAATTATTTTTTTTTTGAAAATTGACCTTGTAGTATTTGTTGTATTTGAACAAATTAAGATTAATATGTTCAATTTTATTGTTAATTAATGTTCAAAGGTGAATTTTTTTAATATCGAACAATAAAAAAATAATTAAAGTGGACCAAAGGGAGTATTATCTATGTGATTTTTTAAACTTATGTACTTATCAAAAGCACGTACTCTAACCTTAGCGAAATGTTGTACGCTTTTTTTTACCCTTTAAAATAGAGTTTTCATTTGACAAAATCATCGTTTAGATTTTCTCCTAATATTTAGGAGTTTTAAATCAACTAAAACTTTGAAGTGCTATATAGGAAGTCCTAATACGTAGGATATTAAAATTAATTAAATCTTTACCTTATATAAATTAAAATATTCACTTATTCTTTTATTTACGTAGACCTAAAAATTACGAACATACATATATATGATTTTGATAACCATTTCAAAGTTCCAATTGGATGTACACTTCTTTTCTAATATTTAAATATTTAAATTATTGTATATATGTAAAATTATATACTAACTATTTTCTCAAAAAACATACTTCTATAGTTAAATATTTAAAGTGTAATCCATATTTTGATTACCTATAAGTTTAATATTTTCTAACGGTAAAAAATTATATCGTACTATGAATAATTGTAAAAGATAATATTTTAAACAATATGGGAGAAAAAAATGAAAAAATAATGAAAAACTATATATACAACCTGCTACAGTCTATCATTAAAGAATTAAACATATAACTCTTAACTTTAATATTTTCTGACGGTAAACATATAACTCTTAGCTGATCATAGTTTGACTACCTATAACTCTTAACTGACCATAACAATTTATACTACTATGAAATAATTCTAAAAGTTTAGTTTTGTGAAAAATAATAGAGAAAAGAAATGGAACAAATAAGAAACATAAATATACAACTCACTGGAAACAAGGTAAGATATTCTTAATTTGGTCATCTATATTTATATAACTAAAATAATGTACAAGTTTCTCAATATTCTTCTTAATTCTAACCAATTATAAAGATTTTTTTAACGTTAATTCTAACAAAATATAAAAGATGAATAAATTATTATTATAATCTTATTATTACTTTCTTTATAATAAATTCCGCTAATTAATCGCACAAGAAAGAAGATAATCACTTAACTTGGTGAATTGGAGATAAAACTTAAATAAGATGTCTGAAGTAGGTGGGCCGAAAGTTGTTCTTTTATTAAACTTGCTAAATCGATTAACTTCAACATTGTAAAAAACTTACCCTTATTTATATATTTATTTATTTTATAGCTCAAAATAATATTTAATAATATTTACGTAATCTTTATGGATTGACGTGATACACACGTACTAAAACTAGTATATTTTAATGGTATTTGTACAATATAATTTTTCAACAAAAGAATTCAATCGAACCACCTTCACTCTATTTAGTTCCGCCATTACCTGCAATCTTTCTATTATTAGTTACCGTATAACAACTAGGGTTGCTTATCGGGCGAATTAGGCGGTTATTTACTCTTAACGGTTTGGCTTATCGATTATCGGCTTTTAAATGTATCAATCCACTAGTCACCCGATAAGATATCGGGCAGATTGGTATCAGTTTAGCTCTTATCGGACGGTTATAGAGCAGTTTATCGGCCTTATTCAATCTATATTGCACATGACGCTCTTTGAGTTCAGAGCAGACTACATTCCAGTCTATATAATACAATAGAAGAGTCCATTACATCCCAAAGCAGACTACATTACAGATGAGTCCAGAATACATATGTCTTTAGTACCTCAGTTGTAAAATGTGAAGAAGCAAGAGGCTCCAAATATTCATTAAAAGTCTTCTTGTAGAACTCATTGTACTCCTCTTTACTTACTTCCTTAGGACTTCAAAGCTGGAAAAAGAAAGACAATAACTTATTATATCAGTAAGAACAAACTTTTGAAGCATAGCAGCAGGAGATAGCAATCCCGAGACTAACCCATATTGGTTGAGTCTCATTTCTAAGCTCCTAGTCCCAATATTTCTCCACAATTTTTTTGGTTTTCTTCTTTTTCTGGTGCAAAGAGTTGGAAATTTCATCAGAAATGGAAAAAGACAGCAGTAGAATCAACAAAGCTACCCCCAGAATATGTACTGCTCCTAGCTATCTCAGTTGTCACATCTTCTCCTTCCTTCTTGGCTTCTGCCGGATACTCATCAACTTCAACCTGTAAAGAGAAAATATCATGGAACCACAAGGCGATAAGGATTTATATCCAGCTTACATAACGTGGAACGTCAAAAATGTAAGACCCCAAGCATGTTTCATGACCGTAAATAGAAACTAGTGAATTTAGGCATTAGGGTTTCTAAATGTCTAATAGAGAATAGAGATAGAGTACTAGAAGTGGAAGAAGGATTTTTTATTATTTAATATATATATATATGTATATATTCTTAACGGGTTAACGGATTATCCGTTAAGAAAATTGAATAATCCGTCCCCAAATCGATAAGCCGTTAATAAAAAAAATTTAATCTGTTCCCCGTCTGTTAAACCATTAACCCGATACCAATAAGCCATTAAGCTTCGATTTCGATTCGATTTTAGGTTTCGGTTCGATTTTGAACACCCCTAATAATAACTCATACGTTATTCTTCGCGCCACTCCTCATTAACTAGTACATAAGCCGAAGGGACCAAATAACAATTCTCGAAACTTGAAAGTATCAAAGTGTCAATTATTCTAAAAAAATTCATTTCCGGTCGAATGAAAATATCCTTCTTTTAAAACTATAAAATGCAACCTAAAAATCAGCCGCTTGCCGCCACCAAGCTCCGCCGCCTGCGACTCTCTTTCCTCTGGAATTATCCTTCCTCCGCCGTTACTTAACTTTCGCCTGCTTGCCGTCTGTTCTCATAACTCAGAAACAACATTTGAAGGTTCTCAATAGGTTTATCCTCTTCTAAATATCCAGCTGTTCCATTTTGTTAATCACTCTAGCACTCGTGTGTTTGTGTGTGTGTGTATGTTATATTATATTTTAATGTTTAAATAATTTTAGGTACCGCCCTCTGTAACGAAGTGGCACTGGGTGCACTAGTTGAAAGGTGGCTTCAGAAAGCTTTCAATCATGCTGAGAACTGGTTTTTCGAATGAATTTTATCAACAAAAATAAGATTGTTTTAATTAAGAGACTGCCTTAAATTTCAACCCAAACTAAATAATTAAGAGTCTTCTGCTCTAGTTGTATTTGATTTTGTATAAAAATATTATATTTGTATCTTGGAAGAAAATATTACATTTATGATCGAAAAGTTAATTTGATAGATAAAATATCACATCAAGATTTAAATTATGAATTATTTAATGAATTTGAATTCTTAAACTTGTGAAAGTCGTAGATTAATGGAGTAGCGTCAAACATCTTGAGATGTCTCAAGAGTTTCTTATAAATTGAACTTATAGGAACAGAGTTTCTCATAAATTGGAATGCATGGAGTACTCTTTGAAAAATGATTTATGTTACATTTATTAAATTGATATTTTATTCATCAGCAAACCTTTATTTTACCTTTTCCATTAAGATGTATACTTTTCGAACTCTCTACCTTGGGCGGATAGGAATTGAGACTTTCAATGGTCCCTTTATTCATAGTATTTCTTTCTTTTGCTTTTTCCTTTGGACAGTCCGGTATGTCGGTTATTGACTGTTTGATGCCATTATTGCACTGTGTTGTCTTATGATACATCTTTACAAGTTATGATGTTTCTTTATATTGTTTGGATTGCTATGATGTTGGTAATGGTTGCTATGTCATGATATTTTTATACTTTTATTGTATTCTTAGATGCTGGCGTGGATTTTCTTACACTTCATTGCAATGTTTTAAAATGTTCAAACTAGTTAGGATCGACCCAAAAGATTTATATAGTTGTCCCCAACTAATTTTAGATTTATGTTTATATTATTAAATTAAATTTCATGGGATCCCCTAGGTATAACACCTGCATCTCGTCCCCACCTTTTATCACACTAAATGCCATAAGGAAAAATAATCAAATCTGATTAGTGAACGTTTGCAATCCAGTTCAGTTTGTTTTCAGAAGTGTAATCTCTGCTACTTACCTTATTATTTCCCTTGTGTAACAGATGGCTAGATGGGATCAAATTCTTTCTCTTCCTGTTCAGAACCCCCCGACTTTGGAGTTTTCTTCTGCTGAACTTGTGTGGTCTAAGGTAGAAGGTTGGCGCGATAACATAGACAGAGTTGCTCTCATTCCGTTTGCTAGAGTAGATGACTTTGTTAGAGGGGAATCTGCTAATAAAGAATGTCCAACAAGATTCCATGTTGAAGCTCGGAGACGTCGGCCTGCAGAGATAACTTACAAGCCTAAAGTTGATGGCATCCTTGAATATATTCTGTAAGCTGTACTTTTAGCTCTTTAGCTTGTTTCAGTTCCTACTATGACAATGCATTTTACAGAAATAGCCTTATGATTCTCTAGGTACTGGTGCTCCTTTGGTCCTGATGATCATAGAAAGGGTGGAATCGTGCGACCAAGTAGAACGACGTACGTCCCTAAGAAAAAACCTGCTGGTCGACCTAATACAAAGAGGGGGTGCACATGCCATTTTATTGTCAAACGCTTAATTGCTGAACCATCTGTAGCACTTATCATATATAACCAAGATAAGCACATAGATAAGAACGGATTACCATGCCATGGCCCACAGGACAAAAAGGCTGCTGGAACACGTGCCATGTATGCTCCATACATCTCAGAGGATCTTCGCCTCCGTGTTTTGTCTCTGCTCTATGTTGGAGTGTCTGTGGAAACAATCATGCAGAGGCACAATGAATCAGTGGAGAGACAAGGAGGTCCATGCAACCGAGATGACCTTTTAACTCACAGGTATGTTCGGAGACAAGAGAGGAGCATAAGGCGCTCTACTTATGAACTTGACTCCGATGATGCAGTCAGCATTAGCATGTGGGTTGAAAGTCACCAGAATCATGTGTTCTTTTATGAGAATTTCTCTGATTCCGATCCGTTTGTCTTGGGCATTCAAACAGAATGGCAGTTGCAACAGCTGATTCGGTTTGGAAACCATGGCCTTCTAGCCTCTGATTCAAAGTTTGGAACTAATAAACTAAAGGTATTTTATATTTCTTTTGAACAAAAAAATTAAACTAATGGTATTTTTGCTTATATGGATACCAAGTTTCTAGAAAGACCGAGTACTTGAAAGCTTACTTTGTCTTTTATGCAAATTCATCCAGTATCCTATTCACAGTCTTGTTGTGTTCAACTCAGACAACAAGGCTATACCGGTGGCATGGATAATAGCACCTAGATTTTCAAGTGGAGATACACTTAGGTGGATGAGGGCCCTATATAACAGAGTTCATATGAAAGATCCTAAGTGGAAGTTGGCTGGATTCATTGTGGATGATCCTTCAGCTGATGTCCCTGCAATCAGGTTGGTGACTATCTTTTTGGTCCCGCATTAGTTTTTTACGTTTTTTTTCCTAATGGATGTGGGGTTTTTCTCTTTAGCATGGCAGACTAGAGTTGCACCAGTTCCATCTATCTTTTGGGTTCAGGGAGAGGCTATTACTTTAATATGGAACAATGCAAGAGAAAGATTTATATAGGCAATATCAATTAGTTGGGAATACATTTTAGTCATGTTAAATATGTTTACTTTATAATTTGGTCATGCTTTCTTGGAGTCTTTAGCCCTATGAGATTCTTATTCTAGTAGGAAATATAGAGAACTTCTGGTACTTTTTCTTTTGGATTTTTATAATGTTGGCCTGAGATGAATTTAATTGGGGAACATGGCCAGTGAGGATTCATTAGCCGACTCTAACTTATTTGCGTTTGAGGCGTAATTGTTGTTGTAGACTTGTGTATTGGGATATTAGCAAATGAATGCGTAAAATAGGCCGGAAATTTCAATGTTGCTCTGTAGGATCGGCTTGAATGATTTAACTAATTAAGAATAGAAGAAATCAGTGTCTGATGCACAACTAACCATAAAGTTTTGTACTGACAGATGTGAATTTGAAAACGATCAGCACTTTAACTGGTCCCTGCTTCTACATCTAATAGTCTTGTTCTGTTCATCCACCAAAAGTTAAAGAGTATATCAAATTTTAAATGTATGATGAAACTATTAGGGCATACTTTGCTCACTCAGTATGTGGAAGGTTAATCTGAATGTTAGGCATTTCTCTTAGTTTTTCTTTATGTATTTTCTCAGTCACTCATGAATTGTGGTTCTGCCAATTATTTTTGGGTACTAGATTGCACAGTTTAAAATTGTGATGAATGGTGTACTTTCTTGCTTTCACTCAGGGAAGTGTTTCAGTGCTCTGTATTGATATGCTTTTGGCGGGTTCGTCATGCATGGCATAAGAACTTGATTAAGAAATGCTCAGAAATGGAGACCTGTGCTGCAATTGCAAAGTGGCTAGGCCAGGCTGTGCATCACATCTGCAAAGGGGATGGAACTGCTGTTTTGTTTGAAGAATTTATGGAAGATTTCGTGGATGCTGCAGACTTTATGGACTATTTCAAGGCCACATGGTACCCAAGACTAGGTTAGGCATACTATTCAGTAAATCAGATTCCTGTCACTACAAAAAGATTTGTTGTTGGAGTTAGATTGAAGTACCTATGAAACAGGTTTTTTGCTAACTCATTTGACTCGCTGCTAATCTGATTCAGATCCACGACTAACATGAATTTAAACTAATACTCCCTTTGTCCACATTGTGTAACAGTTGTTGGGAATATCTTAGACGTTTCACACACTTCTATGAGAAACAATAGTCTCTCAAAAGTTGTCAATATTTGAATTCTGAATCCTATCAATTTACTGCATGATGTTTTCCTATGATGGATACCTTATGCACATGCTCCAATAAGTAGTTGCATATTTTCATCTATGTCTATATTGGATAATTATCACTAATTAGCCAGGATCCGTGGCGCAACGGTAACGCCTGTCTCCAGATCAGAAATATATTGTTACTAAAAAGAAAAGAACCAAGGAGGTACTGATGTATAGAAGTATGTACAATAACAGTCTAAGTTTCTTTAGGAAAAAAAACAGTCCAAGTCTGAATAGAGTCCAAAAACTCTTATCAAATCTTCAACAACATAATGATCATTCAGTTTACCCCATATAGCGAACAGCTGTTAAGCATTTAAACTCTAAATTATGTATAGGTTGAGCAACTCCTTCATAGTGGATATATATGCAATCTTTCACGCTTGAGAGTCCTCACCTTACAAAAAGAAGTGCTAGCTTAGTATTATTCTGCTAAAACGCATTATTCTTCAAGAGTGCTTGAAATAATTCTCTTAGACTCCTGTTTGAAAATTAGTTGGTTCTTCGTTGGGGCTTTATTTGCTGACAGATTTTGTCTACCCAGGGCTCTGGACTAGTGCATTGAGAACTCTTCCTCTTGCCAGCCAGGAGACATGCTCGGCGATGGAGTACTATCACAACCAATTGAAGCTTAGGTTATTGAATGAGAAGGAATTAAGTGTATATGAACGTGCTGATTGGCTTGTAGATAAGCTAGATACCACAGTGCATTCTTACTTCTGGCTTGATGAGTACTCAGGGAAGGATGAGTTTGCACGTTACTGGAAGAATGAATGGATGAGTGGCTTAACAGCTTGGCAGAAATCTTTGCAGATTCCAGATTCTGATGTGTTAGTTGAGGGTGACTATTCAAACGTAGTTGATCAGGAAGATCGGCATCAACTGCATGTTGTTCGGAGTCCAGCTTCAGAGTATGCAATTTGTGATTGTAATTGGGCAAAAATGGGAAACTTATGTGAACATACTCTCAAAAGCATTAAATATCTCCGTGACAAAGGGTCTATTACTCCATCCACCAGTATGTTCCAATATATGCAGGCTCTGGTCGATATGTTACGGTGCCCACCTTATGATTCTTTGATTCGTGATCATGCACTTTCTCTAGCAGTCTGGGTGCAGACGCAGTTGGATGCTCAACTTGGTCCTGGAAGTGGCCAGTTCATGCGACAAGGACTTCAGCTGACTGCTGCCACACCTGGTCACTACACAGAAGTGGTGAATGCGAGCAATAGAACAGACACATTACCCTATGTGGTAGGTGGTCTGACTGAGCTCCAGCATTCGAGTTCTGCCGCTGATAATTTGAGTGGTGGCCAGATTGACCAGGACGGCACTTGTGCAGACAGAGTACCTGCTGTGGAAAATTCTCCTGTTGAGATGGAAACCAGCCCATTATCCATCTCCGCTTGTGCGACTCAATTGTTTTCCCTTGATGGGGTCACATCAGCTGATGTGTTTGCTGAGAATGGAGGTGTCATGGTTGGTGAGGAGCTGGATACGACGAAGAATCTTCCTTCTACAGACACATCATTTGCAAATTCAAACGGTTTTGAAGATGATGTCTTGAACAAAGCTGACTGTGCAACTATGGTGGATGAGCAACCACAGCCTCTCTATGTAGCTCCAGCTGAGAAGTCTCTAGATCAATGCTTGAGGAACCAGCAGAATGACCTATGCTGCAACTCTATAGAGCCAGAAATTAGTCCTAGATTACAGAATGTTGACAACAGAATCGATAATGCAATTTCATCCACAACCAAGCCAGTAGAATCCTCTCTGGTCAATATGGTTGAAGCCTCTGAAGTTGAAAAGCACATGAGGATAGATTCCATTGATGAAAATGCTGGTATAACGAGTGTCCTAACCGCTTAAAGACAGATGTCAAATGTTGGTCCTGGGGCTCTGCGTGCTCCTGCCCACCCCACCACCAGCAACCCCAACGTCAAAGTTGGTTGATCAAGAGTTGGTTGAATAACTTAAAACCTCCGAAGGAATTGAATAAAATGGGAAGAACACATTTTGACGAATAATGATGTAAGCAAGAACAATGGCCTGAATTTTGCCACCGGAGTCCACCTATTAGAAGGTATAACTGCTGAGCTGGTTTATCTTCTCAAGAACAGTAGGGCAGCTGACAATGTGACAGATTTGTGTCCACATTCTGCTAGGGGAGACTCTCCACCATTGTAGCAACCTCTTGTGTAGCTTGGAACCAATTGAACATCTTCTGATTACGACCCTTGCTTTCTTAGATCACAATAGCTTGATCTGTAGATTGAGATATGGCGGATGAAGTGAAAAGGGGCATATAACTTCCAAAAGTGACAAGGATATTACAAAATGTTCTTTTGGGGCAGGCTACGCATGACTTGCTTATAGGATATTTATGAATATGTAGTGCTTCCTACTGTTCATGGTTCCTAGATACTTGGGGCAACTCCCAGTGTTCTTCACTCCTCTGTATATCCATATGAAAGCAACTAACTCTCAGAATTTATTTTGTATCTTGAGTTTCACTGTATATTCGCATGCATCTTATCTCATAAGTTGCACTTAAGCTCTGTACATTGCCTCAAACACCTCTATTCTTGGGTCTGGTCCTAAAATCAATGAAAAGAATGTGCATTATTGTTGTTTCGCTTTGATACATATAGCTTTATGGCCTTGGTCTCTGCTAGTCATCTAGATGGAGTTCATGCTTAACTGCTATGTGTACAGGAAGTTTTTGTGATGATTTATTCCTCCCTTCTTCTGACCCTCAACTTTCGAAACTTTTTACATCATAAGATCTGTAAATTTATTACAATAATTTGCTTCATTATTAGAAAGAAAACGTTGCCAAGTGCTAATTTCCATTTCATATTTGGAATTAAGGCGCATTCATTACTAGGAGTGTTCAAACCGAACCACAAAATCGCACCAAACCGAAAAACCAAACCAAACCGATTAAAAAATCCGACTAGGTTTGGTTTGACTTGGTTTGGTATTGAGTAAAAAAAACCCGAACCAAACCGACATATAAATATATAAATTTTATTTATATTTTTAATACTTTATAGTGATTTTTCTTTAGAAAATGTAGAAATATTTGGGATCCTCTCATGTATTAACCTTGAAAGCATAAATTAACGAAAAATTATTGTTAGGCGACTAAGAAAATAACTATCACGTGTTACTAAAAAAATTCTCCCATTAGAATATTTTAATAGATCATATGTTTGTCAATTTTTTTCATATTTACTAAACATATATTCACTTATCAAAGCTTTATTTATAATTTTAATAAAGTAAGATTGAAATAATATTCACGTAACAAAAAAACCTGAAAACCCGAAAACCCCTACAAAACCAAACCAATCCAAACCGATATAATTGGTTTGGTTTGATTTTAATAAAAACAGAACCAACTCGGTCCATGTACACCCCTATTCATTACTAATATAATTTTACTGAAGACGATAATTTTGAAGTTATGGCCCCACTATCACGTTGTATAAAAGAAATCTGTCTGCCTTTCTTGTTCTCAATCTTCTGTGTTGTCCCTCCAATTAGCTGCTGTGTAGGGAAGGCAGTTGAAAACAACTGAGGGTAAATGGTATTTACCTGCTCGGAACAATCCACTGTATTGAAAAAACACACTGGGTTCATGCTGATTTTAACCAGTGCAGTGAGAACTATTTTCAAGATTACGTTACAAGTTACAAAATAATATCAAACGTGACTCGATAATGTCGTAGCAAAAAACTCTTGGCGCCAAGATTTTGGGGCAGCAAGCTAAAGCGTTTTATTAATATTAGACTGAGACAAACTTAAATGGGGCGAAATGGACAGTGAAGATTCATATAATCTAACCTGAACTTGCTTGGAATTGAGACTTAGGTGTACGCTAAAATTGCTTGAAATTAAGACTTAATTGTAAGCTAAAGCGTCTTATTACACTGAAAACATCATAAAATTCTGCTGTTGCAGCAATTCCAGGGTCTTCAAAGCCTACTGACTGAGTTCATCACGGTTAAGACAACTACAAAACAAGACACTTGGCAATGCCTCAGATATATTTCTTAAGGGAAGGCAATTAAATCTCTATGATATCATCATTCAAGAATATGTAAATCAAGAACACCTATAACAAACAATACGTCTGAGCATTTTTCAACAACAATATGAACTACCACTTTTGCAAGTACAAACAAACTTCAAAAGTGTAACTGTAATATATAGCAGGCAAATTAATATAGCCTGTGTATATTTTGTGTATATACACACGGGCACATGGTTTTGAAATCTGAATAATACCTAACAATGGGGTGGCTCATGCTGCGATAGAAATAAAACTCGGAGCATTTCTACAGCATTACAACAACATGATTTGATACATCCAACATACAACTTAGCGGCTTGAGGCATAGATGATCTGTTTATTTGTCCCTGCCTGATTACCAGTCTTTGCAGTCCCCTGAAAACAGTCAGAATTAATCATTGCTCTTTGCTTTTTAAGGACAAGCATAGAATGCAATATGAAACGTGAGGACAAACTTAGCTCCAACAATGTCAACATAGTATATATTTGCTGCAAAGACTTGTGGTTACTCACAATAATACATTTTGATGGAAGATAACTTATTAAGACATTTTGTTAGCTTCTATTACTTTTCTCACAACCAGGAGTTGATGCTAGACCAGTTAACTAATATATTTCCAAATATAAGAAAACAAGTCCAACTATTCTAAGTGCCTGCTGTTACACTCTTTCAGCACATTCCCCTCAAAGATTATTGATGCATGAACAATATCATTACAATGTTGCAAGGTTTCAGGTAGTAATTTTGAGTTAAAAAAGCTTGCTCAGAGTATTATCATCAATATCGGTCCTCTCTCCAATCCATAAAACTTTAATTTTCTTAACCAAGTATGTTTTCCTCTACGTAATGCTAGTATGTTACCACGAACCTGTAAAAATGAAGAATCTTTTTTAGAAGAGACCAAAAAGGAAAGATTGTCACATAGAATGGCATTGAAGGAACAAATAATATAATACTGGTACCAAATATAATTAGTTTAATACTAGTAGTACTGCTTGCAGGGCCAGTCTCAAATAAAACAAGTAAATTTCAAACACTATGATATTTTAAATTAAAGAAAAAAGAGGACTCATTCCAAGAGGGAGTGAAGAAACATGTAGGAATCACTAGACCTTAAACGACTTTTAACTGAGGAGTCTTTCTACCAATTAGCACATAGTTATTCGTCCTTTCAGATGGGTCGCAGTCGCACTACCAAGTCACCTTAATAAAATAGGAGAATTTTTGGTAACTAATTATTGAAGTAAATGAATCCCAAATAATTAATAACCCTAACAATCTTTCACAAGCTGCATAAAGGAATTAATCGCACTAGCTAGCTACTTTAGAGGAACACTAAAACTTTTGTTTATTAACTTTTTTGATAAGTAAAACTTTGTTTATCAATTATGAAAGTAAATGAAGCCACAATAACCCTAGCCACTTCCACAAGCCATGTAAATTTATTGTTATTTACAAGAAGAAAAAAATAAGACATTGCAATCAGGAAGTTTTGCTAGTTAAGACTGAAAAGCTGTCATCGCCAAATAAAAAAATTAGGTAAATAAAAAAATCATTAATACCAAGATGGTCTCATCTTTCCAGAATTCTGTTGTGAGCGTATACTTGCCTCCTTAAAATCTAGCCAACTATCTACACAATAGGTAATTCCATTTGCTTTCGACCACAAACTCACAATCCCTTCAAAGTTATCCTATTTCTTTCCCTCAACAACAACCAAAAATATAACAGGAGCAGTCTTCAATAGCTTCCAATTTGCACAACATCAAACGAGATGTCATCTCTGCCACCATGCTATGGAGCACCCATTGAATGATGAGTGTTGCATTTATCAAGGACCATAACTTAGAGGCAAATCACGAAGTAGCAAAATGTAGTCTGCATACACCCCATGCTTTTAAACAAGCAGCACCAACTAACTAAAAAATATCTTCGTTTTACACCAAACTTCAATATAACAAGATGTCAAGACGTAATTCTAGCTCTTATTATTCAATAATCTAAGATTTAATTTTCTTTGCTTTCAACATTATGCTATCAACTCTCTTTTCTATAAGATCGTTAACACAATGGAGTGAGAAGCTCAAAATAGGTATTGAAAAGAACTTGATTTGTGTCCTTTTAAGGAAGTTTGACTTTGCATGAATTGTCCTCTAAAGAGAAGAACTTTACATGTTTTGATGTCTGTTCATTAAAATAGGTGATTTTGTATCTCTCTATTGCATTTCAAAGGTTGAACGGCATGACCTACGTCTAGATAATTTCCTAGCATCACCATTGACTAGTCTAACATAAATAGATTTGTACATATTACATGATGTGTGTGTGTGCATGTGTGTGCGCGTCAACGCATATGCAAGGGGAAAAGAAGATCATGCATATTTACACTTTTGTTCCTTTTCATCATGAGCAAGACATTAACGAGAAGTTCAACTATCTACCC